ACCAGGTATATATAAGGGCATGTAGGGTCTTCTGTATGACAGTGTACCAGTTGTCGAGTACCAGGTATATATCTGGGCATGTAGGGTGCTCTGTCTGATAGTGTACCAGTTGTCTTGTACCAGGTATATATCAGGTGATGTAGGGTCTTCTGTATGATAGTGTACCAGTTGTCGTGTACCAGGTATATACCAGGGGACGTGGGGTCCTCTGTCTGAGAGTGTACCAGTTGTCATGTACCAGGTGTATATCAGGGGATGTAGGGTCGTCTGAATGAAAGTGTACTGGTTGTCGTGTACCAGGTATATATCAGGGGATATAGGGTGTTCTGTCTGATAGTGTACCAGTTGTCATGTACCAGGGTATATATCAGGGGATGTAGGGTCCTCTGTCTGATAGAGAACCAGTTGTCATGTACCAGGCATATATCAGGGGTTGTAGGGACCTCTGTCTGATAGTGTACCAGTTGTCGTGTACCAGGTATATATCAGGGAATGTAGGGTCTTCTGTCAGATAGTGTACCAGTTGTCATGTACCAGGTATATAACAGGGGATGTAGGGTCTTCTGAATGATAGTGTACCAGTTCTCGTGTGCCAGGTATATATAAGGGGATGTAGGTCCCTCTGTGAGATAGTGTACCAGTTGTCGTACCAGGTATATATCATAAGGGGTTGTAGGGTCCTCTGTCCGATAGTGTACCAGTTGTCGAGTACCAGGTATATATCTGGGGATGTAGGGTCCTCTGTCTGATAGTGTACCAGTTGTCATTTGTACCAGGTATATATCAGGGATGTAGGGTCTTCTGAATGATAGTGTACCAGTTGTCGTGTACCAGGTATATATCAGGGAAATAGGGTTTCTGTCTGATAATGTACCAGTTGTCATGTAACAGGGTATATATCAGGGGATGTAGGGTCCTCTGTATGATAGTGTACCAGTTGTCGTGTACCAGGGTATATATCAGGGCATGTAGGTTCTGTCTGATAGTGTATCAGTTGTCGTGTACCAGGTATATATCAGGGGATGTAGGGTCCTCTGTATGATAGTGTACCGGTTATCGTGTACCAGGTATATATCAGGGTTGTAGAGTCCTCTGTCTGATAATGTATCAGTTGTCATGGATCAGGTATATATCAGGGAATGTAGGGTCTTCTGTCTGATATTGTATCAGTTGTCATGTACCCGGTATATATATAGGGGATGTAGGGTCCTCTGTCTGATAGTGTATCAGTTGTTATGTACCAGGTATATATCAGGGGATGTATGGTCCTATGTCTGATAGAGTACAAGTTGTCGTCCACCAGGTATATATAAGGGGATGTAGGGTCCTCTGTCGGAAAGTGTACCAGTTGTAGTGTACCAGGTATATATCAGGGGTTGTAGGGTCCTCTGTCTGATAGTGTATCAGTTGTCATGTACCAGGTATATATAAGGGCATGTAGGGTCTTCTGTATGACAGTGTACCAGTTGTCGAGTACCAGGTATATATCTGGGCATGTAGGGTGCTCTGTCTGATAGTGTACCAGTTGTCTTGTACCAGGTATATATCAGGTGATGTAGGGTCTTCTGTATGATAGTGTACCAGTTGTCGTGTACCAGGTATATACCAGGGGACGTGGGGTCCTCTGTCTGAGAGTGTACCAGTTGTCATGTACCAGGTGTATATCAGGGGATGTAGGGTCGTCTGAATGAAAGTGTACTGGTTGTCGTGTACCAGGTATATATCAGGGGATATAGGGTGTTCTGTCTGATAGTGTACCAGTTGTCATGTACCAGGGTATATATCAGGGGATGTAGGGTCCTCTGTCTGATAGAGAACCAGATGTCGTGTACCAGGTATATATCAGGGAATGTATGGTCCTCTGTCTGATAGTGTACCAGTTGTCGTGTACCAGGTATATATCAGGGGATGTAGGGTCTTCTGTCTGATAGTGTACCAGTTGTCGTGTACCAGGTATATACCAGGGGGCGTGGGGTCCTCTTTCTTATAGTGTACCAGTTGTCTTGTACCAGGTACATATTAGGGGATGTAGGGTCCTCTGTCTGATAGTGTACAAGTTGTCGTGTACCAGGTATATGTCAGATGTAGGGTCCTCTGTATGATAGTGTACCAGCTGTCGTGCACCCGGTATATATCAGGGGATGTAGGGTCCTCTGTCTGATAGTGTATCAGCTGTTATGTACCAGGTATATATCAGGGGATGTAGGGTCTTCTGTCTGATAGTGTACCAGTTGTAGTGTACCAGTATATATCAGGATGTAGGTTCCTCTGTCAGATAGTGTACCAGTTGTCGTGTACCAGGTATATATCAGGGGATGTAGGGTCCTCTGTATGATGGTGTACCAGTTTTCTTGTACCAGGTATATATCAGGGGATGTACGGTCCTCTGTCTGAGAGTGTACCAATTTTCATGTACCAGGGTATATATCAGGGGATGTAGGGTCCTCTGAATGATAGTGTACCAGTTGTCGTGTACCAGGTATATATCAGGGGATGTAGGGTCCTCAGCACGATAGTGTACCAGTTGTCGTGTACCAGGTATATATCAGATTATGTAGGGCCTCAGCACGATAGTGTACCAGTTGTCATGTACCAGGTATATATCAGGGGATGTAGAGTCTTCTGTCTGATTGTGTACCAGTTGTCGTTTATGTGGTTTATATCAGGGGATGTAGGGTCTTCTGTCTGATTGTGTACCAGTTGTCGTGTACCAGGTATATATCAGGGGATGTAGGGTCTTCTGTCTGATTGTGTACCAGTTGTCGTGTACCAGGTATATATCAGGATGTAGTTTCTTCTGTATGATAGTGTGCCAGTTGTCATGTACCAGGTATATATCAGGGGATGTAAGGTCTTCTGTCTGATAGTGTATCAGTTGTCGTGTACCAGGTATATATCAGGGGATGTAGGGTCCTCTATATGATAGTGTACCAGTTGTCGTGTACCAGGTATATATCAGGGGATGTAGGGTCCTCTGTCTGATAGTGTACCAGTTGTCGTGTACCAGGTATATACCAGGGGACGTGGGGTCCTCTTTCTTATAGTGTACCAGTTGTCTTGTACCAGGTACATATCAGGGGATGTAGGGTCTTCTGTCTGATAGTGTACAAGTTGTCGTGTACCAGGTATATATCAGATGTAGGGTCCTCTGTATGATAGTGTACCAGCTGTCGTGCACCCGGTATATATCAGGGGATGTAGGGTCCTCTGTCTGATAGTGTATCAGCTGTTATGTACCAGGTATATATCAGGGGATGTAGGGTCTTCTGTCTGATAGTGTACCAGTTGTAGTGTACCAGTATATATCAGGATGTAGGTTCCTCTGTCAGATAGTGTACCAGTTGTCGTGTACCAGGTATATATCAGGGGATGTAGGGTCCTCTGTATGATGGTGTACCAGTTTTCTTGTACCAGGTATATATCAGGGGATGTACGGTCCTCTGTCTGAGAGTGTACCAATTTTCATGTACCAGGGTATATATCAGGGGATGTAGGGTCCTCTGAATGATAGTGTACCAGTTGTCGTGTACCAGGTATATATCAGGGGATGTAGGGTCCTCAGCACGATAGTGTACCAGTTGTCGTGTACCAGGTATATATCAGGTTATGTAGGGCCTCAGCACGATAGTGTACCAGTTGTCATGTACCAGGTATATATCAGGGGATGTAGAGTCTTCTGTCTGATTGTGTACCAGTTGTCGTGTATGAGGTTTATATCAGGGGATGTAGGTTTCGTGTACCAGGTATATATCAGGGGATGTAGGGTCTTCTGTCTGATTGTGTACCAGTTGTCGTGTACCAGGTATATATCAGGGGATGTAGTTTCTTCTGTCTGATAGTGTACCAGTTGTCGTGTACCAGGTATATATCAGGGGATGTAAGGTCTTCTGTCTGATAGTGTATCAGTTGTGGTGACCAGGTATGAATCAGGGGCTGTAGGGTCCTTTGTATGATAGTGTACCAGTTGTCGTGTACCAGGTATATATCAGGGGATGTAGGGTCCTCTATATGATAGTGTACCAGTTGTAGTGTACCAGGTATATATCAGGGGATGTAGGGTCCTGTGTCTGATAGTGTACCAGTTGTCGTGTACCAGGTATATATCAGGGGATGTAGGGTTCTCTGTCTGATAGTGTACCAGTTGTCGTGTTGTGGGTATATATCAGGGGATGTAGGGTCCTCTGTCTGATAGTGTACCTGTTGTCGTGTACCAGGTATATAATATGCAACCCTAACGCCCCTTTCAGGTTGCTTAGTCGGTCATTATCACCCCTCTTTCGATGGCCTGCACACCCGTGTGCGAAATACGCCTGATCATCATCATCAACATTGGAAAGTGAGACAGGGCAAACACCGGTAAGAGCGCAGACCAACCAGCAGGAAAGCCAGTCAGGGACGAACGCTGACCACCCAACCCAGCCCATCAGCTGCCCAAATGTCAAGCTGACTTTGCCGCCTTCCTCAGCCCGACTTTCTGGCAGTACAAGGTTGTACTGCTGAACATCTAGTCTTTACCACCACTAGTTACTGAAATGTCATCGCACAGTATAAGTTGCACGACCATACTAAATTATGACTAATTATTCTAGAGAGAGGGGTTGTCAATGGTAAATATCTGCGGTTTCAATGGTAAATATCCTGCATCCGAAGCAGACAATGTATTAATCATTACTTTATACCTAATCATTCACATGTCCGATGCATCAAATCGTGGTTAGCAATAATAAATATGCCAAATGCGATTTAACCATACGAATGCTATGCTTAGTGAAGTATAGGTTCCAGTACTTTTGTTGGTTTGATTCCCATCCGGGAGTCGAACCCACACTCCCAGAGTCAGGCACCTAATCGTCACAAAGTCAGCCATATAACCCGCTCAGCCACCGCCGCTTCCACAAGTGGGTGAGAAGAATGTTTGTCAGAGATTCGTAACTCACATATTGTAACATACGGCTACTGTAGCCGTGGGCTCACATGAATGTAAACATGAAAAATGTTACCTGCAATGAAGAAGATAAGGCGCATAGTGCCTCCAGGTCGTGAACTGATCTCTCACGCAAGACGGCCGCCGTTTTCAACGTTCTGGCACCCCTGTAGGCAATCCCCACCGGTTTCTGGGTAAACTGATCTGGTAGGACGTGTGTACAGTGTGCGTATGCAATAGCCAAGATGGGCAGTCAGACATGCATATAGCAATCGGTGTATGCGCACTCGATTTCACAACGCACTGTGCGGCAAATATTGCACGTATTGTCTCTTATTCAACAGCCGATTTGTATGGAATCCTAGAAGGGACATTGTCACTATATCGCATTGTTGCGTTGTCAAAAACAAGTAAAGTGAGGCAAAATAAACCAAAACGCGACACGCGACATCGCGATAACGCGACATTTCGCCCATTTGTTGCATTGTCGCGACGTCGCGTGTCGCGTTTTGAATAATATTTTTCTATTCCTCCAAAGGGCGACACGCGACATAGCGACAATTTTCAAGGTCAAAATATGTCGCGTTGTCGCGCGTCGCCCTATCTAAGATGTGTAAAAAGAAGCCTAAAATTTCACTAAAACGCGACACGCCACATATGTCGCATTGTCGCGTGTCGCGTTTTCGCCCTTTTCGATTACCGGTGCGCATGCGTAGAAAGTCAATGAGTCTACGCATGCACAGGAAATGTTATACTCTATTTCACACTTCAGTGGTCTTTTGTTACCTCCAATGGTTTTTACAATGAAGTAGTACGCGTAATGATAATGGGGGCTGCTTTTCTTGAACTTAATGGAAATCTTTCATTGTTGCTTTGAAAATTATTGTATATATTGTAAATGTATTTGGCCAATCAAGTGTGTTTTAGCAGCAAGACAAATTATTAGCGCTACTATTCATTGTAATGACGGCACACGGTGGCCCTGTCATTCAAGGCGGGGCAATTTGCTGGGCAGAGTTGTGTCTCTTAGTCACACCAGAAAACTATGATCATAGGTTCTAATCCCAGCACCATACACACTCATCACTTTGCACATTTCACCCATATCAAGCTCACAGGTTGTGAAAAAACTCAAATATTGTTAAAATTCAGGCCACATCGGCAGAAACATCAAGTCATATCCACGAATGGGTCACTATTTTCCACAGTGTGGCACCTCAGAGAGATTCTTGGTACAGTCCTGTCCGACGCTGATGAACTTGTTCAGCCAGCAGTGGATGGATACCAGGAAGAATGAGATGGTAATATCACTTAACCATCCAGCACCTCAAATACAGTTTTGGTCGACTTTGAACGTGATATTCTTCTTGGGAAATCGCCATACAAATGGAATGTTATGATTATGATTTTAAAAGCGGTCAAATCGCTTGGCAGAGTTGCGTACCCTTGGAGTGCCAGAAATCAACCCTCGCTCGCTCCCCCCCTCCCACCACTCCGCTCCCCCCTCCTCTCACTCACTCACTTACTCACTCCACTCCACTCCGCCCCACTCCGCTCCGCTCTACTCCAAACATCGAAAAGTAAGCATGCTTGTGATAGTTTATAAAATCCACAGTAACTAAATATTGAGTACAGTATGTATCACTCACTCACTCCCCTCCCCGTTCCATTCACTCAGTCACTCACTCACTCATTCCATTCCACTCCACTCCGCCCACTCACTCACTCCGCTCCACTCCCCGCTCCCTCTCCACTCACTCACTCACTCACAACCCCCTCCCCGTTCCGCTCACTCATTCCACTTCACTCCGCTCCACTCCACGCTACGCTCAGTCACTCAGTCACTCACTTCACGCCGCTCCTGTCCACCCACTCACTCACTCTACTCCACTCCCCGCTCAACTCACTCACTTAGTCTCTCATTCCGCCCCCCCCCGCTCCACTCACTCACTCACTCACTCACTCCACTCCCCGCTCCCTCTCCACCCACTCACTCACTCCACTCCACTCCACTCCACTCCACTCCACTCCACTCCACTACACTACACTCCACTACACTACACTCCACTCCACTCCAAACATCGAAAAGTAATCATGCTTGTAATAGTTTATAAAATCCGCGGTAACTAATAAAACGCGACACGCGACAATGCGACCACGCGACATTTTGATGATGTATCATGGGAAGATTCCTAGTATTATGTACATGATGTAGCTTGGGAAGATTCTTAGTATTATGTACTTGATGTATCTTGGGAAGATTCCTAGTATTATGTACATGATGTATCTTGGGAAGATACCTAGTATTATGTACATGATGTATCTTGGGAAGATTCCTAGTATTATGTACATGATGTATCTTGGGAAGATTCCTAGTATTATGTACATGATGTATCTTGGGAAGATTCCTAGTATTATGTACATGATGTATCTTGGGAAGATTCCTAGTATTATGTACATGATGTATCTTGGGAAGATACCTAGTATTATGTACATGATGTATCTTGGGAAGATTCCTAGTATTATGTACATGATGTAGCTTGGGAAGATTCCTAGTATTATGTACATGATGTATCTTGGGAAGATTCCTAGTATTATGTACATGATGTAGCTTGGGAAGATTCCTAGTATTATGTACATCATGTATCTTGGGAAGATTCCTAGTTTTAAGTACTTGATGTAGGATGCAATGTTCGTGTCCACTATTATTCTTACTACAAATGTGTATGTGAATAATGATAATTATGATAATAAGTTATGTTTTCATTTCTGTTTAAATCAAGTGCAATTAGAATATCGTAAAGCACCATGTTCTTTATGTTACATATTGTAAGAGTGCCACATTCCACAATGTCTCATTAGATTGGCCTAAATCAGATTTTGGAAACTCATGTACATATATGGAAATACAATTCATCTGTGGCCATGAATTGTTAGTAAACTTGATGTAGATAGTGAGAAAATTGTAAAACACATATATTACAAAATTGCTGTAGATCTGCATCTTCTGATTGTTGAAGCAGGATTGAGGAGTATCAGCGTCATCACTCTTCACAGTGAGTGTCCTTGTAGATCAGCATGCAGTTATTATTTTGGAGTGAGTGAGTGAGTGAGTTTAGTTTTTCGCCGCACCCAGTAATATTCCAGCTATATGGCGGCGGTCTGTAAAAAATTGAGTCTGGACGAGGCAATCCAGTGATCAACAGCATGATCATCGATCTGAGCCAAAAATTGTCAACCAGATCAGCGAGCCAGAACACCCGATCCCGATCCCGTTAGTCGCCTCTGACAACAAGTATGATGGGTTCATACTGTAATGTGCATAATAACAATTTATATTTTTATCATAGAGTTTAAATAAAATGAAGGTTTCGAAGGACAGTCTAAAGATATTTTCGCCATCGGTTCGAATCCGATCAAAGGCAAACCCACTTTCTTCATGTTAATGTCGACATTACTTCAAATGTTACATCTTTACAAACAGCAAATTACTTTAGCATGTTTGAGGCAAATTCATATATTATTTTTGTTGTCCATATGTAGTTATTGTAATACTTTAGAATTGATTTATGTGTTACACAGTCTACTGTATTGAGAAGCTCATGAAATATGGAGTTTTTACCGGAATAGTAAGCTAGTATAGTTTTCGCCGCTTTTAGCAATATTCCAGCAATATCACGTCAGGAGACACCAGAAATGAGTTTCACACATTAGTACCCTTGATTGAATCGGAGCGGAGTCTTCGGTGCGTCGAGGCGAACACTTTAACCACCTTCAGAATAGGCAGCACTATTTCTATCTATTGTAGCATGTTCCTTCAACCTAAGACATTTTGTTCATGAAACAAAATGCTGAAAACATTTTCAGTGTTCATGTTATATGCTTATTTCCTGGACTTTCTTGAGATACTTGGGCCACACACAGACGTGTGGACTGGTAGATTCGAGAGCCTGCTTTTGATATGTTAGCAACCCAGAAACGTTTCGATACGTTGTTGACAGTTTCAACAGGAGCAAAGGGTCACTGGACAGCCGCAGGGTGCTTCCATATCTGATATCATGGCCGAAAACTTGGGATTATTAAGGTATTCTACCATGACTTCAGTAAATACTGGATTGTGATTGGTTAATCAAAGTCATTCAGAGGTATAATCACGTTATATACCTCTGATTTTCCAACACAGTGTGTATTTTCTTTTAAATCTTAATAACGCGGTTATGGTAGAATGGAAATAACGCACTGTGTTGGAAAACCAGAGGTACATAACGTAATTATAATAGCTCTAAATATTTATATTTATAAACCTCACGCTGCGCATTCGGTTTTAAATCAAATTTAGAGCTATTATAATTTCGGTATATACCTCTGGTTTTCCAACACAGTACGTTTATCTCCTGACTGCGGGAAATGAGTTGTCTGTCCAGGGATGGTCGAAGGAACATATATACGTATTCCTGGGCCGCATTTCACAAAACGATCAGAGCGCTACGACTATCGTATCTCCTACACTCTTACATAGTTACAACACTCATAGCGCTGAGATCGCTTGCAGAGAATCGTACACATGTACTGCAGTAGGTGTCCTGCAGCACGTTAACATTTACTGTTAATAATTCAATCAATAGTAATACTAAAACTCTCACACAGACTGAGCAGAAGAAGCAGATAACTGCGAGTGGTTGTACAGAACAGCTTAATACGTGCTCTGTCTGAATCAGAGATCTGATCAGGGATTACTGGTCAACTAAATGCAAGTGCACATGGTGAGCTGTTAACGCACTTAAAATGGGATTTTTCAAGCATCAGTGGTGCTAACAGAAAACTGTATCAGTAATATGTATGAGTGGATTGACAAGATAGATAAATCCCAAACCAATTGGTATTCAATTTGATGTAAAATCAAAGACAAGATGGGGTGATATTGTGGACGATTGGAAAAAAAACCCGATCGTTATGTTCCTGGTATCCAGACCCTTATTGCAGATGCAGTACATGCATTTACACTCTTCTGGGTAGAGTCTTATGATTGTGTTTTGCCCCTTCAGTCTGATCGGAAGTGCACTTATAAATGCAGATAGACAAAACAGACATTCTGATGGTTATTCCTCTGGGGAGGACACAGAGCTATCAAAAGACTGCCCAAGATTTATTATTGCCGAGGCCCAAGTCCCTGTTAACTCGACAAACACTCCATACGCAGTTCATCCCCTTCACGCCAAAAAGAAATGAGGTCAGTAGCTTTCAAGCTAACAATGTAACCTTCGACAGAGTAAAGGAGTATCGGAAACAGTTACGGAAACTCTGTTTCCACCATGGCGCG